ATTAGGCATGGTTAGCCTGAATGAACTCGCTTTTTAATAATGTGAAAAGGAGTTTATAATAATGCTTTTGAATTCCAATGGAGGAGCACCAAGAATGGATGCAGACAAGCAGAGGGTACAGGTTTGTGGTGTGGATGCAAACGTGGAAAGGTAATGGAAGAAGGAATCTACAGTGGCCATGTCAACAAGGTAAAAATTATTGACTCGAATCATTGTTTGCAGAATAAACGACATTGACTTGACGGGAGCCAAATTGATTTTCATGTTGTATGGCATTGTTTGATCTTGATTAGGACGTGGGAGCAAGAGACAAATTCTTGTATATATAGATTCGATTTATCGTGAGTTTTGAATGAAAATGAATCTCAGTCGTTGTCCATTCCACTTGCTCCTTCATGTCCTACACCCGATAGCTATAATGTTTCCTGCTTAATTGTTTATCTTGGATGTCAAGTCATACGTTCATGTTTCCTCTTCAATCATTGATCCTTTAAGTGGCGCCAAAACATATCAATAGATGGACAAAATTAGCAGTAACCAAATCATTAGCAATTTAGCATACCTTTGAATACGCCGAATATTGAAATGAGCAATTAGTTATTACTAAAAATCATTCTACAACATGTGTACTTAACGTTTATCCTTTGTTTGATCGCTGAATCACATGGGCGCACACGCACATATATAAAGCTTGTACGAGAATAAGTCACATGGGATGCTCACGTGCCAGCTTTACTTGGTTAGCTTCTTTGGATTATGACTTTAATAAATTTCTAATCCATCCTTGCAAATCTCTATTTTTGCATCTCTAATTCTATGAATAATTTGACACTAACCTCTAAAAGGTGTACAAGAAATAACATGATTGTGTATATTTTGGTAATAAATCTCTAATAAATACAAAAAAATAGAATAATGCATATTTTGGCAACATGTTTAAGAATAATTTTTATTTATATATAGACTATATTTTGAAATGCCTATGTATTTTATATGTGTAAAAATGATTGTTATGATGATGTTTTGAAAGAGTTTAACGATGTAAGAATACTTTGTCTCATATTTGACAAATAATATCAAAAGATCTCATGTGGGGCTCATATTGACAAGTAAATTATATTAAAGTCATATTTGGCAAAAAATAGTATCGATAAATTTTCAATGTACAAAAATAATAGAACTATGCATGTTTTGATAATAAATGTTTAAATATAATTGTTATGCATAAATATACTCTATTTTGAGATATTCACATATAATTAATGAATTATCAAAGATCTTTGGTAGATATAATCCCTTCTACTTCCTAATTGATGTGACAAAAATCCGATACCAGATATAAGTCTAATTACTCTCTAATTCATAAGAATAAAGTCCCATATTTGCAGTAGTCACTATCATCGATCTTATTTATATATTGATTTTTTTTATTATCTCATAACTCTCAAGAGAGCCTATAAAGAAAAATTAAATGTTTAAAAATTCTAGTCCATGGTTGTACAGATGTTGGTAATAAATATTTGCAGTAATTGCTTCATTACACATAGTATCTATTTTCAAATATTTGAGTTGATGGAAAAAAAATTTCCATCAAAGAAACAAAAAGAAAATTCAAGAAGAAAAATTAAATGTTCAAATTTTATACATGATGAAATTTATTTTCGGTGATTGTGCATATTTCGATAATAAATATTTAAAATGATTGTTCTCATTTATATGTACATTTTGTCATTTTAGTGGAGGAGCACCAACAATTAATGCAGACAAGCAGAGGGTACGGATTTGTGGTGTGGATGCAAACGTGGAAAGTTAATGGAACGACAAATCTACAATGATCATGTCAACAAGGTGATAATTACCGACTGGAATCAGATTTTGCTCTCATAATCTTGTCACATTGGTATACCATCATTGATCCTTATCGAGACCCAAACTGATTTTCATGTCTTTTGGCATTTTTTGATTTTGATTAGGACGTGAGACCTAGGGACAAATTCTTGTATATGAAGATTCGATTTATCGTGAGTTGAATGAATCTCAATCATTGTCCGTCCCACTTACTTATTCGGATCAAACATGAAACATATATCTTTCGATAGCTAAAATCATGTGTTCATGTTTCCTCTTCGATCATTCATCTTGGATGTGAAGTCATAGGTTCATTTTTCCTCTTCAATTTGGATGCCAAAATGTCATTTTAGTTCTCCCTCATTTTTTGAAACATTACCAAAAAAGAAGGTGTCAAAATTCTTATTCGATCCGAAAGTCCATTTGTTCAAGTGTTGAAAGGGCCAAGCATCAAACAATAAGTGGCCCCAAAAAGTATTAATAGATGGGTAAAATTATTTGTCATCAAATCATTAGCATACTTAATATGCCGAATAATAAATATATATATCCCTCACCAGTGAAATAAGTAGTTAGTTGCTTACTATAAATGAAACCACCAATGTCAATTGCTCGCCCTACGCAATTCAATCTCACGCGAGATTTACTCAATAAGCTGATTTTGATTATCACTTTTGCAAATTTCTAATCCTAACAGATCTCTAATTATGCTACTTGTTTCATCTCCGCATGGAATTTTCATGTATGTTGGAGTACGTACAATTAGGGGGGAGCACGGTGCGATTGGTGCAGTTTTATTGTCAAATCAAACCAGACTAAATAAATATTGTTTGAAAAAAGTAAAACCAGATCAAAGATATTATAATTGGGAATCAATTCAAACCAAATCATTTTTTGCAAATCGAACCATACGGGTTTTTGCTTTTTCATTTTTTTGTCTTCAATTTTTCTAATTTCACGAGCTTAAACTTGCTATAGTAGCTTAAAAGGAGCATTCATTATTATATGAAAAAATCAGAGTTTCAACTCATAACAATTCATAAATTTACACAAAATGAAAATCAAATTTGCTTCAAATAAAAAAAGTAGGCTCCTTCCTAAAAATAATTTAATAGGCTGTATGATACGGTTTCACGATTCAATTTGGTTAGAGAAAAGTTGAAACAAATTAAACCACAAAAAAAAATGGTTTAGTTTGTGAATCGTTTTTTCCTCCAAAGAAGTACTATTGAACCTGACCAGATAGCCAAAAATAGTTTAATTCGGTATGGTTTAACGGTTCGAACCATTTTTTTTCTGACCCCTACAGATAACACTCGGCCCAATTATTCGCCGTAGATAGGTGGAGAATATTGTGTTCCAAGCCGGCTCTCCTTTGCTATGAACAAGCCGAACAAATTAACTTGGTTGGATTAGGGTCTAATAACACTAATTATAGCATGAAAACAAAATAATTATTCATTCTACTTTGCATTTGATTTTGCATAGGCATATTGGAAGCCCGCTAGGATGTGAAGAGAATCATAGAAGTCAAAACTCATACAAGTAATCGCTTTGTACAACAGGGTCACAAAAGTCTTGGGATTCCGCTTATAGATTGACAATAGCTGGAATGGAGAATGATAGTCAATTCATTTGCTTAATTGGACAATTATGCTATTCCTGTTTTTTTTTCTTTTTTATGGCCAAAGGATGATTATTCCATTCATTTAGGTATTACAAAAAGGCACATGTGATGTATGTGACTATGCGGTGATCGAGTGACTGAACTTATCAATTTAGGCTTAGGAAAAGGCACATATGATGCATATGATGATCAGGCTTTTTCTTTCTTTCTTTTTTTCGTATATGGGATTTTTTTTATGCCAACTTATGGTTCGGACGTCCGAACTTGAAGAATTTGATACCCAAGAGTCCAAGCAAGTCGGACCTCCATCCACACCACAAAAAAAAGGTTCGATTTGTGAACCCTTTTTCCTCCAAAGAAGTACTCATGACCCGGACCGAACCGCCAAAAATAGTTTAATTCAGTATGGTTTGAAGGTTCGAACCATTTTTTTCTCACCCCTACGAATAACACTCGGCCCAACTCTTCGCCTTAGATAGGCAGGAACATCGTGTTCCGAGCCGGCTCTCATTTGCTGCGAACAAGCCGAACAAATTAACCCGATTTGATGAGGATTAAATGACACTAATTATAGCATGAAAACTAAATAATAATTCATTCTAATTTATTTATGAATTGTTATGAGTGTCAAATCTTTCGCCGGTTGGATTAGGATCTAACCCCCCTGAATAAACACGCGTCTTAATCATGTGAACAGGAGTTTATAATAATTCCACTTATAAAAGGTATTACCAATTGATGCAGACAAGCAGACGGTACGGGTTAGTGGTGTGGATGCAAACGTGGAAAGGTAATGGAAGAAGAAATCTACAGTGGTCTTGCCAACGAGGTAAAAAATACCGACTCGAATCATAGTTTGCAAAATAAACGACATTGACAGGTAGGTGCTGTGGTGTTGCAACGCAGTCCGATAGCAACCTTCGTGGTTCCGTCTAGAAAGAGAGACAACAGGGATGAAGGCGGTAGTTGTTGCTGTTGTTGTTGTTGTTGTCCTCACAAAATAACAACAATGAGATTCAAGTTGAGACTTGTTGACGCATAAGGGTATTTGATTAAAAGGAAGCAGACCTAACACTGAGATTATATATGAGGAGAAGATTATTGAAATGCACATGTAAGTTGTGTTTGAAAAGTCTCACATCAAATAATTTGTGTAACATTGAATAGTTAATATATCTTAGTTGGTGTATAATTTATTGACTTAAACTTTTTGATGAAGGTGGTTCCAATTAAACATGTTAACGGACTGGGACTTGGGCTCTCCCTTGGCGATCTCCTAAGATGAAGGTATTGGATTTTTCCTAGGTGCTTCTAACATTGTATACTCCTTCAATGCATATACTCTAACATGCAAAAGTATGAACAGAAGAAAAAGAGAAAAAACATTACATATTGTCCATGTTCGACATAATACAATCTTAGAAATGCACAACCAATTCAAGTCTTCGCTAATATTTTCTGGATAAAGCAACACATTACACCACATATACTCTATAACATGCAAAAGTGTGAACAGATGAAAAAGAAAAAAAAACATTGCATATCGTCCATGTTCGACACAATACAATCTTACAAATGCACAACACGCTAATATTTTCTGGATAAAGCGACACATTACACAACATAAAAGAAGAGATCATGCATCATACACGAGAAAGTTTTCTAGAGTCTGACCAGGGATCGATGCAAGATAAAGGGACTGCTACAAACACACACAATCATATAGACATTTTAAATAGTTAATTAGGCATAAGGCCAAGTTCAGTTCCTCTCTGGATCATCATGTTCCTCACCATCACGTGGATCTCTGGTGATGCCCGCGTGAGAGACCAAAACCCAAATGTGAGTCACAAACTCGCCCCCGGTGGTGAGGTACTTACCGTGAGCCGCCGTATCATTCGAAGGAGCCACATACAACAACATATCCGCCCAGAAGTCAGCCAAGACCTTCCAAATTTGCCCCTCACCCGCTACTACATTCACAAGCTGCATTCCTAGCCGTGCGCCTCGGCCCACGCTGGTTTCCTGGTATTGTTCGTTGTCAATGACCTTCTTTAGCTTTTGAATCCTCTCTTCCATTGAAACCAAGGAACCTCCAACTAATTCCCTGGCTTCACTGACAGCACGACCAAATATGTATTCGGTCCTGCAAGGGTGGCCAGGGAGCAACCTTGGGGCGAAAGCAACCAAATAAGCAAGATATTGTGATAGCTCAGTCGCTACGTCAAAGTCGTCTCTCTGTTCTTGTGAAAGTTGAGCGCGAGGCACTTCATGCTCACAGAAAGTGGTTGCTATGTGCCAGACCATTATAACATGAGTAGCCGTCTCAAGATTACATGCCCATGAGAGCACATCAGACAAGTCGTTGAGCCTCAAAGACGCTTGCCCCTTCTCCAAATACTTCTCTAAAGACTGAGCAATCGCCTTTTTCACTTCCGTAGACAAATTGGTGGGAGCAATTTGTTTCTGACCGTCCCTTTTCTGGTCAAGATAAGCAGCAGTGAGTCTATTGTATATACACTTCCGTGGAGAATAGCTATACGATTTGAGGAGCGAGTATTGACGCAGTTGTCTTCCCCAAGGCTTCACTAACCAAACTCTGCATATAATTTCGATCAACTTCCCAGCACATTTGTTCCTTCGCCACCACTCGCTGCGCACATACTTGCATATGTATGTCACCTTCGCCCATTCCGAGAAGATCATGATGCCAAACTGTGTAAGCTTGACAACGAGGATTGACATTAATAACAAGACGATTGCGATAATAGCAAACACGTCCTGTTCCAAAATCGCAGCGTAGAGTAAAATCAGAGGAACAGCAACCACAATGGGGAATAGAAGCAATTTATACACTGAAGGACGGCAATGGAGATTCACTGGATATTTGGTGTAGAATAAATCAAAAAGAAATGCAAGTTCTACTTCGATGACTCGGAAAACTCGCTCATAACCATTCTCTTCGGAAAGCATATGTTGAATCAAGCGCCATAACTTGTTGTGAGCTTCTCGGGGCAACGAATAGCCAGTGAATCTCAGGCAGATGAACTTGAAGAGCGAAAAAGACAGGCAAAGATCCTTGAGTCGGCCATCCCGGTCTCCTCCGCTTACACTTAATAGCCTACCTTTGCAATTCCAAACCTTCTCAACGGTGATAACTTCATCCGTCACCTCCAACAATTGTCGATAATGCGGCGCGTCCCCATCAAGCCACGGAGCTGCCTTTCTTCTCCATTTCGCTTTTGAGCACGATGAGTGCACCTTTGCCTCTCCTGCCACTATCACCAAGTACCTGTACCCACGCATTGTAGCAGGATCTTCATCACTTGAATTGCTCCATTGGTGCTCGGTGCTCATGTAGTCTCCTATGAGCCTGCATTTCTTCTGCATCACAGAATTGCTTGCCAACATCAAAGCTCGTGCTCTTTCATCGACATTCAGGAATAGAATCACGAAAAGAATGCAAACTAGTGGGTTCCTCCATAGTATTGCATATGTAGCGATCATCCAACTTGTCATGATACATTTAACAGCGGAGTCGACTCTAAATGACTTCCACCGTTCAATGTCCTCCATGCTGTGCGCAGTGTAGGAATCCACGTTTCCGAGAACCGCCACCAGATAAGTCGCCCAAATAGGGAAAAGCAGACTGCAGTAAGGAGTACTTTGGAAAAGGCCAAGCGTGTACGCAATGACAGCGGGCGTAAGGGTATAGGCTGCCAATGTGACCATTGCGAATGCGCCGTTTCTGCAGTGTCGCCTGAACGACCCGGAGATCCCAAGAAAGACTAAGATTGCAGGAGCGATGACCAGCAGTGCCTCAATTTTTAACAATCGGATCCCTATATCTTGGGAACTCATGCAGCGCTCCCCCAGCTTCTTCTCGATCAAGTGAAAAAGCCCTGCCATCTCCGTTTTTTTCTTTTTTCGCCAATAAGTTCTTTCTTTTCTATTTTCTTACCTTCTGCTAACGACACGGACGCGTTGATGAAGCCACATCGATTTTGCTCTAAGGTCCCTTTTAACTGATGCGGGTCTGGCCGAGCGCCAAGAATTAGGAACTCCTGAAGTAAATTACTTTAGCTAATCAATCACAAGCATTAATTAATTTTAGAGTAATTATAGAATACTATGGTACACAATTTTTTTATATCACAAGACACTGCTAGAATACTTAAACATCAGAGATTAAATAGAACCAGCTCAAGGAGCCAAATCTTATAGTAGCTGAACAAGTGGAACTGGGAAGGAGTTGGTAAGTCAACGAGAATGGGTTTCCTATGTGTTGCGACCTACCCGTCCTACAGGATCACGCCAAAACAGGACAAGGAGACAAAATATTTGTGGAACGAGCATTTGCCCGCGGGGTCCCTACCCGGCTTGGAGACGGCGGTTTCAAGGTGCGCTCGACAGAAATCGTGCCATGGCCAACCACCTCGACGCCTCCAAGCCGAGATCCTCGGGTAAGGGGGCTCGGAACCAAGAAAAGGGACTCACCGGAAATATGGACGTCGGGGAGTGGGCTGTTGGGGACGTTGGCCAGGAGAGGTTGTCAGCCAAGGTCCGGGCATGGTGGTGATGGGAGGATGCTTCGTTCGTTCTCGGCTCCGGCTTCTCACTCTCGGACTCTCTTCTCGAAAACTCACCACTCCCTCTTGACTCCCTCTTCTCCCCCTATCTCTCCATCCCCATTTCTTTGTTCCCTCCCTCTTTTTTAACTTGGTTCTGCACGTGAATTGGCCGAGACAAAGAAGAGAGCTCTTCCCTATTTCGTCTCTTGTGCTTCTTTTATGAAAGTGTGCATGGAGACCAGGGAAAGCGGGCCTGTTCATGGGGAAGAGCTCCCTTTTGTCTTCTCTCTTTTATTTTTTTTATTTTTCTTAAATTTTTATAATGATTTTTTAAAAAATAAAATAAAAAGAAAATATATTCTACTAAATTCTATTAATGCAAATGCGTCGAGTGTCTATATGCTATGCAATTTAATGAGAATCATTTTTGTTTAGGGGGCTAAAATTTAATCCCTAATTTTCTATGCAATTTATCACCCTTATAAATAGTCAAAATTTAGATGTCTAACACTTTGTAAATAAGATTTTGAGTTTGTGCTGAAAATCTTCAACCCAAATAAAAAGAGGGAAAAAATAGAAATTACTGAAGTTGGGGTGACATTTTGAAAGCGACAGTAAAATTAATTCCTGTCGACTCCATTCACAATTTCTCATTGATGGATTTATATTTATGCCAGTTAACATGCCCGTACTAGGTTCACTCTAAAAATTTAATTAAAATATAGGGTTAATATCATGAAAAATTCCAAACTGGTATACCTGTGAAAATTTTACCACGAACTATTTTCTTGACCATTAAAAACCCTAAACTGGTACACCTATAACAAATTTACCCCGAACTATTTTTTTGACCACTAAAAACCCCAAACTGGTACGCTTGTGATAATTTTATCACGAACTATTTTTTTGACCACCAAAAACCCCACACTGGTACACCTGTGATAATTTTAGCACCGAACTAATTTTTTTATTACTAAAAATCCCAAACTGGTACATTTGTGACAAATTTACCCTCCGTTAGTGTCTGTTAAATCGGATTAATATCACGAAAAATCACAAATTGGTAAACTTATGACTAACAGATGGGTAAAACCCAAAATCGGTACACCTGTCAATTATCACGTGTCATTAAACTTAACAATTTGACAGTAAAATTTAACGGAAACTAATGGAGGGTAAATTTGTCACAGGTATACCAGTTTGGGGTTTTTGGTGGTCAAAAAATTAGTTCGGGGGTAAAATTGTCATAGGTCTACCAGTGTAGGGTTTTTGGTGGTAAAAAAAATAGTTCGGGATAAAATTGTCACAAGCGTACCAGTTTGCGGTTTTTTGTAGTCAAAAAAATAGTTTGGGTAAATTTATCACAGATGTATCAATTTGGGGTTTTTCGTAGTATTAACCCTAAAAAAAGATGATTACAATAGATATCAATATATATATGTAGTTACTCAACACGAAATCTAATTGTTCAAACATTTAGGTAGCCGTGATAGAGAATTAACTAATTAATCTATTACATATAATTAAAGCCGGAGTTGAGAGAGTATTTGCTATTTTGCCCACCACGTAACACTTCACTTTGTCTTTGTGATTGCTATATGGCATGACACTTGATTAGAGGTAGCAAAATGGGCCAGTAGCCCATTTTTTCACTCATATTTGCTGAACTGGGTTCAAAATGGGTTAATCTAATTTTATGGACAGGTTAAAATGAACCGTGAGAAACAAAGACGAACTAAAAATGGGTTCGACTTAGACCCATTTTTAAATTAAATCAAGATCTTTCTAGTTAGGAAGCAATGGTGGTTCTAATTCAATTCATTCTGGTCAGGAGAGTTTCTCCCGTAATCTTTTCCAGGTGCGGTCAGTCTGTATGATTGTAATCATCTTGTACATTGTTGAAGGATGAATCTGCAAGTATCTTTAATCCAAATTACTGTAGTTGCTTAAATTCTCCACATACTGATCCAAATCAATGGGGTGATTTATGTGGAGTTGTGTTCTGGAACTACTTCTGAAGTTGATCGAGGTCTCGGCAGTTTATAGAAAAAAGTATCCAGTTGATTTGATGGTTAGTAAGAGAAGTTGAAATCGCTCGTTTGAAGTTATTTTTACATTAGCGGCATATCCCTATTTTTTGCTTAATTTTAAAGCACTGACATGACAATTGGGATTGATTATTGTGATAATTCTCGAAATACCAAAAAAGAATGGGCTGTATTTTCCTTGTCCTCAAACCAAACATTTGATTCGTAGGTTATATTAACATGAACATCACCCACATGCAAAATTTAAGTAAAACATAATATAAGAGATTTCCATATGTATAACTCACAAACATTTCCAAGTGAATACCTTGAAAATTTTTACGTTTATTAGGTTGCACTGGCAAATGGAGCTATCGAAGTAAAAAAAAAAAAAAAGGTGATCCTCAAACTATTGCAAAAGCAGTCAACTTTTGGAATTTCATTTTTGTCCGTTTGGATCTCTGGACTATATACTTTTGCACCAGTACTCCTCAAACTTTTGCCAAAGTAATCAACTTTTGAAATTTCTTTTTCGTCCACTTACTTTTTCATTCAAATTGATCTTGCTGTTAGAAAAATAATTGCTGTTAAATGCCGCGATGCCTCATTTTCCTAACTTAACTTATCACCAGATTCAAACCTGAGCAGGTCATTAAAAGGGTCAAAGAGAGACGGGGGAAGGAACTTTCCAGTATAGTGGAGGGATCTTCCTGTAAGTTTTCTCCATATTCCTTCTCTTCCAGGAAGAAAAACAATGGGAGAGAGTTTGCAAACAGAGAGCTTCTGTCCTCCAATGCACTTTAAGCGAAAGGAAAAAAGATTCTAATTAGAAATTTTTATATAAGGGCATCTTCCCCTCGGTTGTCTAAACCAAACCACGAGTGTCGAATCCACCTCTCCTGTCTGCCTTGACTTTGGTCTTCACAGCAGAATGGCTTTTGAGAAGGAAAATAAAATGCAAATAAACAAACTGTTAATTATTGCTCGAAGTTTCCCGTTGAAATTGATATAGGCAGAAGTTTATGATTATAGCGATGTTCTAAGTGTTTGCGAGCCTTGGAGACGGAGACTAACTATCGGAGAATGCAAGAAGATGGCTCGGCAAGCGCTTGGACAAACCAGGCAACTCGTGGGCACTTATTAACACCTCATTTTGATGTCTACTTTGTACATAACTTATCAGAACCCTAGAGAGTTTTTGAGAGCCATCGTTGAAAGCTTAAGAAGTGGGCCTATGACAACTCACGGAGAACAATTTAAGCCTTGTTTGGTATTCCGAACTATGACTGAGTTTTAATGGAAAGAGAATGCTAGATTTATTAAAACTATTTTATAAAATTAAGGGATAAGTGCATTGGAAGTCATAAAACTTGTCATAAAAATGCAAGTGAGTCCTAAAACTTATCACGAAAGTGCAATTGAGTCCTAAAACTTGTCAATGGTTCAATTAGATCCTTCCGTTGGCTACATTTTTTAAAGTTTTAGGATTCAATTGCACTTTTGTGACAAGTTTTAGGACTTGATTTCACTTTTTGAAATTTTTAGTATTTAATTGTACTTTCGTGACAAGTTTTAGAATTTCCATTGCACTTATCTCTAAAATTAATTTAGTAAAGAATGAGTAGGATTATAAGTGACCCTTTAAACAAATGCGCCTCAAACAACAAACAAATATTGTGATACATTATTTAATAAAATAATTTTTCAGTTACAGTAAATCTAGCATTTTTCTAATGAGAAAAAGTCATTATTCCTTTCCTTATTTTTTTGTTCAGATTTTTTTTATTATTCTTATTGTGCCATTCCTATAATTAAACGGTTAGAAATTTTTCATACTAGGTATTCTAGGATATCAACAACTAGTATATTGCACTAGTAGTTCGCACATATATTAATTAAATTGCGTCAGTAATGACTCGTACTTTCGACGTAGATAGAGATTAATCATCAAAGCATCAATCCTTACTAAGATACGGCTCCTAATAAATTTCTAAAACGGTGAATTAGCATGAATTATTAGTAACATATTGAAGAGGGTGTAGCTAGTATACAAGGGGACCTAAATAAGGAATCCAATCAATCCTATGCCCTTTATTTACAGCGATATAAAACTTGTTGCTGTCTTGTACGTCAGAAAGCTTTCTTTTCTTCGTCTGGTTCTATCCTATCCTAGCTACCGTGTGTTATGTGTTGTGCGTAAGTTTCGAAACCCCATTCCTTCACTCACGCGTCCCTACCCTAGCCCCCCGAGAAGGTGAAAAATCGAACTATCCATCTCTCCTTTCCTAAGTGAAAAGAGTGGTCACTGGAACAATCCCCAACGGTTCAAAAAGCTTTTTTAAGAAGTTGACTTGACATATGAAAAGCATGATCAAGTGTCCAAAAAAAGGTAAGCTAACACGTTTTAGATGGAGACAACACATTGAATGGGGTGTAACAAGTGTACAAGGGGACCTAGTTGAGGAATCTAATCCATCCAATGGCTTTTATTTACAGCCACATAAATCTGTCCTGTGTGTCAAAAATCTTCATCTCTAATGAAGTTGACCTGACAAAGAAAAAGCAAGACCAAATTTAAAAAGAAAAAGTGAGCTAACACGTTTTACATGGAGCACTAACGCTATCCTGTGTGCCTTGGTCCGACATTTCCTAATCTCACGATGGTATGGAACATAACTCAACGACATCAACGATCCTTAACGGGACCCAAAACTGATTTTCATGTTAATGGCATTTTTGGATGTTAATGGCATTTTTTGATGTTGATTAGGACGTGGGAGCAAGGGACAAATTCTTGTACATGAAGATTCAATTCATCTTAGTTGAATGAATCTCAATCATTGTTCGTCCCACTTACTTATTTGGGTAACTTTCAATAGCTGTAATAATGCTATCATGTTTCCTCTTTAATCATTCACCTTAGATGTCAAATCATAGGTTCATGTTATCTCTTCAGTTATTGATCCTAAATGTCATTTTAGTCCTCCCTCAATTTTTTTTAACATTATCAAAAGAGAAATAACCACCAAAAACTCCAAACTATGTCACTTATGATAAATTTACCCTGAACTTTTTTTTTGTGACACGAAAAATTCCAAACTAAGTCACTTGTGACAAATTTACCCTAAAATTTTTTTTGTGACACGATAAACTCCAAACTATGTCACTTGTGACACATTTACCCCACAAT